CCGTTGCGGAGCACAGGCTCCGGACGCGCAGGCTCAGCGGCCATGGCTCATGGGCCCAGCCGCTCCGCGGCATGTGGGATCTTCCCGGACTGGGGCACGAACCCGTGTCCCCCGCATCGGCAGACGGACTCTCAACCACTGCGCCACCAGGGAAGCCGCCCCCATTCCTTTTTTACCTGTTGCATTCCCTGTGGTCAGCATATCCATATATCTATCCATCATCCACCCACCCATCCATTATCCATCCATCCAACCAACCAACACGTATTAACAGAGCAGCTGCTATATGCCAGGCCTGCTGCTCTTCTTACCTCACCAGCCCTGCCCATACCCTCTATCCCCAGAAGAACTATCATTTCTTCCTTATGATATGATCCTCACCTCTCTTAACACTCACCAGAATCCGTTCTGTGCTCTTTGTTTGCATCATGTTCCCCTCCTATTGCTGGTGAGCTCCTCGGGTTGGAGCGTGTCTTCACTCACTTTGCAGCCTGAGCTCCAGCACAGAGCCTGGCAGTCACGTCTGCTGACTGAGGAGTTCCAGTTTCTCAAACCCTGTCGATTTCTAGTGGTGACTGATGCAGGGACAGAGATGATGGTCTTTTGAAGGAAGACCTGGTAGTTGTGGGGTTTTTTTTCCTGAAAGGAAGTGGATCTAATCTGAGTCTGAGGTGTGACTGTCTCGTCTGGGGAGAGCCTCATGGTCCAGCAGGTCTCCCTGCAGCTCCTCGTCTCCTTTCTCCCCTCACTGTCATGCAGGAGTGGAGGGGACATTGAGGTTGGAACAAGTGAAAGGATGCCGTAAACTTCCATAGAGAGATTGCAAGTGACCTCCAGGATTGGTAAATGTGGATGGTTAAATATGCCTTTGGTGCAGGTTTTATCTCATCCTTTTTTGAGGCAGGTAAGTGGAGGGGAGAGGAACAGAGGCTTTGAGATCTTGGAGGAGACGGATTCTAAGAGCAGTGACACGAATGTGGCATTAGTATTTGGAGAGACATGATTTTGAGCTAAAGGGTTCAATAATTTTGTATTCCTGAGATGTGAACTATAAACTTATCGTAGAAGCTGTAAAAACTTATTGTGAGAATCACAAAGATGAGTCCACTTTCAATGCGAAATAATAAAATGTGGGAAAGGAGACTTAAGACTGACAGGAGGGCAAACTAAAGAAGCAGCAAGGCCTTGGTGCTGCGGTAACATGAGCCTGCTTGAAAAGATGTTGGGGTTTGACCCACACTGCAGCGTGTTAGAAACGTGCTCTTTTCTAATAACAGGAAGAACACGCAGTGTGGAAATAAGAGTTTTGGCCATTGAAACAAACATTTTAATAGTCCTATTTGAGAGTAAAATTTCTTGTGCAAGTATCAGAAGGATAATTAATGACTTCTTTTGCATAACCACTTGGTAGACGTTTATTTCATTGTTGCTGGGGACCTCCACCAGAGGTAGAGGATACATGGAGCTTAGGATGGCAAACAGCCATCAGCTGGGGCTCCAAAAATGTGTAGGGCAGTTAGATTGAGGCTTATTATGACCAGAATATCAGTGACTCTTTATTAATATTTATGAACTCTTTCAACAGTAGTAGTTGTGCACACCTAGGACCAAGCACAGGGGGCCCAGTGGGTAGCAGGGGAACAAGAGCCTCCCTCCTGGAGCTACCATTTCTCCAGAGTAGCTCCAGTCAGGGCATGGGCTCCAGCCTCTTGGGAGCCTGTGCTGATTTGAAGTTGAAGTGTCCACTTTACCTTGACCCTGGTTTCACTTCCCTTTCCAGAGGTGCTTTCTTGATAATTTGGTGAAAACATAATCAGGTAGAACAGTAGCATTGCCCTTCACTTACCTTCATGGACCTGGGTCAAGTTCCTGTTTATCCTGGAATCTCTAGTCCAGGTTGAATATTTCCTCTTAGCCTTTTATAAAAACTAGGAACCTCTGAGATTTTACCCCCACCCCCAATCATCTGTTCCATAGGCTGAATTTTCACAACCTCTTGTTTTCTTTTCAGAAGGTAAGAGGGGCATCTGGTGGAGCTTTACCCAAAAGGAGGAATTCCAAGATTTTTTTAGGTAATGTAAATAGTTATCAATAGTGTGCCTGGATTTTCTGTGTGTGTGTATGTGTGTGCATGTGCATGTTTGATTTGGAATAATAGGTTGTTTATTGCTCTACAATTTAAGGATGAGAGGAACCAATTTAACTCGAGGTGATCTGTCTCCCCTTTATGTTTACCTGGTGGTGAAGAATGTTTACAGCACTCTTGTTGGGTTAGTGATTTGAAGCAATTATGCTGATAGTGACTGGAGAGAAATTGTGATTCTGTTTCTGGCCTCCTTTTTCACTGCCTTTAAAGAAGAGATAGTTTTTCTTTTTTTGATATTAGCCAAACTACAGACTTTTTTTGTATTTCACTATTTTTTCTACTAACGAAATAGTATTTCACTATTTTTTTGTTCTTCCAGGATCCCATGTTGTATTTGGTTGTCATGTTTCCTTAATCCTGTCTCATCTGTGATAGTTCCTCAGACTTTTTTTGTCTTTAATAATTGTGACACTTTTGAAGAGTGCTGGCCAGTTGTTTTGTGGACCGTACCCCAATTTGGTTTATCATGTTACTTCATGATAAGCCTGAGGAAGTGCATTTTTGGCAAGAATACCACACAGGTGATGGGCCCTTCTCAGGGCCTGATATCAGGGGGCACATGAAACTGAGCTGTCTTCACACTGGAGATGTTAACCTCGATTGCTTGGTCAGGTAGTGTCTGCTGGGTTTCTCCACTATGAGATTACAGTATAATTAATAAATATTTTGGGAGTGATACTTGGAGACTATACTAATACTTGTTTTTCCTTAAAGTTTTGCCTGCTAATTTTATCATCCATTAGTGGATCTTGCCTGTAACAGTGATCACTGTGGTGTTTGCTTAATAGTGCTTTTCTGTTTCCCTCATTCAGAAGAGCCAGTTTTGCTCATGCAAATACATACTGACTTCTGTATCATGTACTCATGATCATATTTCTTTTTTATTTAATTAATTTTTATTGCCATATTGTTGCTCTACAATATTGTGTTAGTTTCTACTGTACAGCAAAGTGATGATATTTCATATTAAACTTCTGATATGGTTTTCCCAGGAGAAAAAAGTGGTTTGATAATTTTTGACCAAGCAAGTTTATATCTCTAAATGCCTAGGATTATTGTTTGGAAGGAATTTCAAAATTGTTTGCATATTGTAATTTCATTTGGTAAAGAAAATTTATACACATATATACATATGTGTGTATGTATGTGTATGTGTATCTATATGTGTGTACACGTACGTATGTGTATGTGTGTATATCTGTATTGTACGTACATATAAGTATGTGTATATATATGTATGTGTGTACACACATACTCACATACATATATAACTGAGAGTCTAGTAGAGTCTGACAAAATGTACTCCAAATTGTTAATAGTATTTCACTTTCCTGGTGGTGAAATTGAGGTGATTTTAGTTTTCTTTTTTTGCTTATCTGTATTTAAATTCTTTTTCTGTAATAAAAAGACACATTAATTATTTGACAAGCAAAGCCATTGAAAACAGTCTTGGAGCTGAGTTTCCTTCCCACTTGGATTCTCTGTTACCCTGCACTGGGCCCACCCTTGCTGTCTTTGCTTCTGATTTTCAGCCCATGGTTTTCTTTGTGAGGCTTATCTGCAGTTGGTTTTTCCACACAGGCCAATCTTTCCCACTGCTTGTCATGGCTTTGGACCACAACGCAGATTAAACCAACTAGACTCAGAGCAGCTTAGAATGAGCCAGAAAGCTGAAATGATTGCGTGCATTCTGATGTTTTGGTTATAAGCCTTCGGCTCCCTTCCACAACTAGAGATAATTGATTTCTTCTGAATTAAATGACATTAGCATGGCATTCTTGAATGTGGAAATAATTGAATATTTTGACCTACATTGTTATTTTTCATTATTTTCTTTGGTTGAATAAAGAAGTTAGCTGACCTCTTATCCTTTAACCTTTGTGTCTTTTTTTTTTTTAAAATAAATTAGCTGCTTTTCTTTTCTTTTTTAATTAATTAACTTTTTGGCTGCGTTAGGTCTCTGTTGCTGCCCTCGGGCTTTCTCTATTTGCGGAGAGTGGGGGCTACTCTTTGTTGCGGTGCATGGGCTTCTCACTGCGGAGGCTTCTCTTGTTGCAGAGCATGGGCTCTAGGCGCACAGGCTTCAGTAGTTGTGGCACGCGGGCTCAGTAGTTGTGGCTTGCGGGCTCTAGAGCGCAGGCTCAGTAGTTGCGGCTCACGGGCTTAGTTGCTCTGCGGCATGTGGGATCTTCCCAGACCAGGGAATCAAACCCATGTCCCCTGCATTGGCAGGTGGATTCTTAACCACTGCGCCACCAGGGAAGTCCCTAACCTTTGTGTCTTTTATTCAAAAGACCCTGCAGTTTGATTTCTCTAGTGATCATACTGGTGGTAGCGGATATTGTCAAGTAATTGTTTTAAAAATTAATCCAAATGTAAGCACTGAGGTTTTGTGCTTCATACTGTGTGGACCCCTCCATTGCTTCCTGGGAGAAGTAGCCCACCCTTTCCTTTCAGTTGGACTTTTTCTATAGGCTGCTGTCTGTGTTCTCTCAACATTTCATGTCTTAGAAAGCCACAGGATCTGCCTAAAACTCACAGCCCAGCAAAAATGTTCTATTTGGACTGTACCACTTTTTAAAAAGTTTAAATTTGAATGCCATTGGCACTCTGGGGCTTGTCCTAGGCCCCAGTTCTCTCTATTGTTTTATACTCAGATGCATCACTAATTTATATTAGTAAGGATTAAGTTTTGCAAGCTCTGATTTATACCCCCTTGTAGCTCCCAGTAGCAGGCACTTTTCTCTTGCCACACTGATCACAGCTCTGTTTTCAAGGTGGTGTGGCCTGTAAATTAATTTCAGTGAAAGACTGTATTAGAGCTACCCTGATTTATGTAATTGGAAATGTAAAATATTGGTGAATTTTAATAAAGTAGATGTTTATTTCTCTCATTTCATATAGAGGATGTTGGGAAGCAACAAATCCAGGCTGATGTGATGGCCTCATGTTCATCAGGATCTAAGTTCTTCCCACATTTCTACTTCACCTTCTATCCTGTCCTGTAATTTCTAACCTCATGGACACTTCATGGTCCAAAAATGGCTACTGGGAATCCAGCCATCACATCCCCATTCTGGAAGGCAGGGAAGACAAAGGGGAAAGGACAAAAAAAAAAAATCTAATCTCCCAGGGGATTCAACTTCTTTTTGTCAGCCTTTTCATAGATCCCCATGCAACACTTTAGTTTACACTTCTCTGGTCAGAACTTGGTCACCTGGCTATGGTGTGTGCTGCACAGGAGGCTGGAAAGTAAAGTCTCTTAACTGAATAAAGTGTGTTACTAAGGAAGAAAGGGAGAATGAATACTGGGAGGCAGCTAGTAGCCTCTGCCACAGTTTCCTTCCCTAAAAGGGACATTGGGTTGTCTCTTCATGAAGAGAAGAACTCTCTTGTAGCCTCTTTGTTTCTTTGACTACAAAGTACCTTTTCATTGCTATTGAAATGTAGTTATGATGACCCTTTATCCCCTTCACAAAACACATGCAGATGACTAATGCTTTTTCCTGGATAGAAGCTTTTTATCCCCTTTTACTTAATGACTTTGTGACTAATTCCTTTCCATTGGTTCAACAGTGATATTGAAACCATTGAATCATTTAGTTATGACTTTCAGTATTGATTTTATAAGGGAAACTGAGGCCATTAGCTGGTGCTGAATTGCTTACTCAAGTCTCCTGAGCCTCATTCTACCCCTGCATTCAAGGCACTCTTCCTCCTGATAACCTTGATAGTCATCTACGTGAAACCCCAGTTAAGGGATCCTTCCCTCAGGTCTAGCTTTTGCTGGTAATGTTTTTTAGAATCAACAATGACAATTCTTGGTAATTTTTGAATCATAGAAATTTTATGCTTCTTTTAGGATTTAGGATTTTAAAAATATTCTTTGAATACATAGCACATGGACAAAACTTAAAATTGAAAAGTTATAAGAGCTTCCATAATGAAAAGAAAGTTTTTATCTCTCCCTTCCCTGTCTCCCAGCCACTTAGTTACTCTGCCCAGAGACAAATAATATTTTCTGCTTGTACATCCTTATATATGTTGCGTGTTCTTCCAGCAATAGTCTAGACATATACCATGCTTTTAGACTTTTTTCCTGTAGGCCATGGGGAGCCATTAACACTTTGGTTCCCAAAACTGTGTCCTGAGGCACTCCAGGTTGCCGCAACTAACTCACCGGTAAATCACAGGATATTTTAACTCTTCAAGGGAACACAGTGATGCTTGAACATTGCATGAGAGATTAGCTTGATGTAGTCTCGCTATCCTATACTCCTTTCAGTGACTTCATCTCTTTGTGAAGCTATTTTTTTTAGTGGTTTCTGTGGTAAAAGGCAAGTACTATGTGAAAATAAATGTGGAATGGGAAATAAGGGAGGCAGCGTCTAGTCTGATTCAAAGAGAAGTTCTGCAGTGCCTCACAGTTATACACGTCCCCTTAGTAAGGAATTACAGTTATTTAAGACTGAAATAAAACATTCATTTCCTTTCAATTTATGTGTATTATCTTTTCAAATGGTTCCTAACTTATTAGAACATAAATACGTAATAAGTTGTTTGGACCGAACTACTAAATAAAAAGAACTATCAGGCATTTCTTTTGGTTTAGGGCCAATTCTTGGTATTGTGCAAGAATTGCTGGGATGCTAAAGGGTGCTGGGATGCTAAAGGGTGCTGTGAACTGGGAAAGTGTGGGTAGCTCTGCAATAATGTTTTTAAGCTAGAAAGGGACACCATTAGGCTGTCTTTGGCAAAGATAATTTACAGCGATATGAAAGATTGTGAATTTTGGGAGTAGGCTGATAGAAAACTTACTGTTTGATGAGATGGAAGGAGAGAAGGGGGAATGGAAGGGAGTCTGGGATCTTCAAAGAAATACCCCAGGACTTGTGATGTGATTCTGGCCTAATCTCGTATATCCTATACATTAAAGCTACAAATGTGTGTAGTTGTGTAAAGACCTGCTAATAAATTTAATTAAAAATGCCATATCTTTGGTATGTTATAAAAGTGTTAAATGTAAATTGATGACTAATAAGGACCTGCTGTATAAAAAAATAAATAAAATAAAATTCAAAAAAAAAAGTGTTAAATGTTCACATTTTTATTGACTCCCCTACCGGCCCCCCGCAACTTTCACAGACAGGAGTAAATGAGTCAGTTCTTCCATGTTTGAAGACTGGGATGTCAAAGAGCTACTGCTAAACCTCAGAGAGCTTACATTCCACATTTTTGTCTTTAGCCTTGTCATTCATACTTGATGAAGAACAGGTTGAAAACAGAATATCTGTGGAAAGTTCCAGGAATGGGCCTGTTCAGAAAACTCATCTGCGCCTATAATGACCAGAAGTTTCAAGTAAACTCTATTTTGCTGTTTCCATCTGAAGTAGGTCATTAAGAACAGGGTCTGTGCTCAAGGAAGCTGCCTCTGTACCTTCTCGTGAGGGCGAGCAGTTGGTCAGATTTCACGGCACTGGTGCAGCAGACTGCTCACCTCCAGCACACAAATTAACACCAATACAGTCAGGCCTAGAGCACCCTGAGCCGGGCTTCACTGCCCTAGTTTGATTTAGGGATCCTTTCCTCCGCTGTGCTGCTCCATAGTTACTTCTTGGAATGGCTGTGGTCCCAGCCACTTCTCTCAAGTATCTGAGCAGATCAGTAAGTAGAGTTAAAGAGGAGGTATTTAAAAAAATTTTTTTTATCTTTGTAAAATGTCCCGTCCAGGTATTGCCAGTTAATAGTCCCTGTGGAACGTAGCTGCTGGGAGAGGTTGGGGGGTGCTCGTTCTGCTGGTCCCTAGGCTATGGTTACTCTGTAGTTTCCTCAACTAGATGTTTTGGGATGGTGAGACTCTAATGAGAGAAATTTGGAAATTGTAGATTTACATTTAGGACTGTGGGGTCATGTATATGCAGGAGAAACCTTAGCTTTGTCCCTTAGATTCAGAGTGTAGGTTACCTCTGCTGACTTTTCCCTAAATTGGATTAAGGTTTTTGGGAAAGATCATGGTCCCCTTCCATCCCAGTGAATTAATAATAAAAATAAAAGGAAACTATAAGTGTAAGGAAGCCCCACAAAGCTCTGCCTTTTTGCATGACAGTAGTCTTGCTTTTTTAAACACACATCAGTTACCAATTAAAAAAAACCAAAACCTGTAACAGCCCTTTGGGTGCTCTTGCTTCGCTGTTGTCCTTAAACACGCTGGTATTCTTAACTTCCTAAAGTCTCCTTTCCCAGATGTTTACTGAGTGTGTGGTGTGTGCTGGGCATTGTGCGGGGTCTAGGGATTTAGAAGGTGAATAAGACCCACTTCCTGCACTTAGAGCTTACAGTCTAGAAGCATTTGAAGTTCATATCTTCTCCACACTCAGATCACATAGAAGATCCCCCATGATATCCTGGTCCTCCTGAAACTGACTTCAGGATTGCTTTGGAGCTGGGCAACCAAAGGGAAGGGAGGTCACTTGTGCTTTTGTTAGTTGTCAGGAGCGTAGAGAAGAGATGACAGTGATGGCGAGGGTGATGGTAGGGGTGATGGCAGCTATCTGTGGACCCCCTAACACCTACCAGATCCTAACTAGGTACCTTAAAACCTTATCTTCTTTAATCCTCTCAAAAGTCTTAGGGGGTAGATAATATTATCCATAGCCTACTCATGAGGAAAATGAACTTGGAAAGAACTTGCCCAGGCTTCCATAGCTGGTCAATGTCAGGGTGGGATTTTTTTGGGGGGCTTTAGTTTATCATTGTTTTTGGCCAGGTAAGATTTTTTTTTTTTTTTTTTTTTTTTTTGCGGTATGCGGGCCTCTCACTGTTGTGGCCTCTCCCGTTGTGGAGCACAGGCTCTGGACGCACAGGCTCAGTGGCCATGGCTCACGTGGGCCCAGCCGCTCCGCGGCATGTGGGATCTTCCCGGATTGGGGCACGAACCCGTGTCCCCTGCATCAGCAGGCAGACTCTCAACCACTGCGCCACCAGGGAAGCCCTGGCCAGGTAAGATTTGAATTAGCATTAAGTGCAGATGTTTTCTCTGGAAAAAAGACATTTAGATAATGTGTTATATGAGCTGACTGTGTACACAAAACCAAACGATTTATACTTTGGTTACTTAAACTCATTATACACAATATAATAAAGAAAAATTTAAGAATAAATTTCATCCATTCATTCTTTTCTTTTTTCTTTTTTTTTTTGGCCATGCTCTGCTGCTTGTGGGATCTTAGTTCCCTGACTAGGGATTGAACCCGCGCCCTTGTCAGTGAAAGCGTGGAGTCCTAACCGCTGGACCGCCACGGAATTCCCCATTCATTATTTTCATTTGTTCGGATTTTCTTCGAATTTCTGTCTATGACCATAACTACTACAAAGTTGTCTTTTCAGTGAAGGTGAATTTTGTATTTTTAGCATTAACATGGCATAAACATTTCCATGTTTTACATAGTCTAAAAAAATATCATTTAAGTAATAGTCTAGTGGGTTCAACACCATTCCTTGTTTTAAAAATATTTGGCTGCGCCGGGTCTTAGTTGCGGCATGCAGGGTTTTTAGTTGTGACATTCAAACTCTTGGTTGTGGCGTGTGGGATCTAGTTCCCTGACCAGGGATCAAACCTGGGCCCCCTGCATTGGGAGTGTGGAGTCTTAGACACTGGACCACCAGGGAAGTCCCAGCATCATTCTCATTGAACACTTAGGTTATAATTTTTAAAAACTACAGGTATTGGGGCATTCAGATTTTTATAACATAGAATGTCTGTCTTTGAGTCATTTTCTTTAAATAAATGCCTTTAGTTACTACTTAAACTCTTAGACTGTTCTTTAACATTGCCTTTTGTCAAAATAACCTCTTATGGCTATCTAACAATGTTGTTTGTTTATTTTGGCATTTCTGATTCTTATTATTTAGAGTCTTTTATCAAAATGTGTAGACTGCATTTTAGCTGTATCTCATTTTCCACTTAAAACTGCTCTCCCTTTGAGAATTTAAGAGCAGAACTGTACATAAAAAGATTCCAGGTTGAGGCATACAACAAGGTAGTAACAGAATCTAGATCCTTTGGTTCTCAGCTGGCTGCTTCATCTAGTAAAATAACTTTCTCCTGTTTATAGAGCCTGTATCCGTGTACCTGTTTGTGTGTGGGTGTTTGTGTGTGTGTGTGTGTGTGTGTGTGTGTGTGTGTGTGTGTGTGAGAAGATGGCTTGAGAGCTGTTTGTCACCATAGTTCCAAATGTCTAAATATACAAACATGATCTGGGATTCTGGTATCCATGTGAATGCAAGGCTGAAATGTGCATGTAAATATTGTGACAGGACATTTCCTTGAGCCTTTTTGCCTAACCTTTTCCAGAGATGAGCCAAGTAAAGAGGTGATGACTTGATAGATAACAGGCCAGACTTTCTTATTGAAAATTCTCCACTGCCTGAGGACAACAGGACCACTTATATTATGGGGTTTCCCCCTCTGGCTTACTAGGCAGTATTTCCACAACTCTTAGCAGGGAGGGAGAGGATGGGGGAGATAGAGACAGAGGGAGGGAAATTGAGATTTTATTTTAAAATAATTGTTACCATTTATTGACAACCTGTTATGTGCCAGGTCTCTTGTTTACAATTTCTTATTTATTCTCCATATAAACTGTGTGAGATAAGTGTTATCTCCATTCTACAGATGAGGCCTGTGACTTGCCCAAAGAAACATTAAACTTTGGACCCGGAGTTGAACCTAGGTTTATCTATTCTCAAACCCATGTACTTTCTTCTGTTGTGTTGTAAGAAACATTCCAACCCATTCTTGTGCAATCAGGAGTCAGGTACCCGACAAATCATAATGACCAGGCTATTCCTTTAAACGTCTCTAAGAATTGAACATCTAGCACAAATGTCTATTTTAACTGTAAAGCTTACTGATATGACTTAGTCTTCTTTATACATCTGTCCCTTGAAGATAAGTGTGTATAACTTAGGAAGGATGGAAAGGCCTCCTCTTCCTGGCTTGGGGCAGATGGATGGCTGAATTGTAAATGCCGCTCCCTTGGTTTGTCAGCCCTGTGGATATCTGGCTTTCCCAGTGAGTGCTGCCTTGGTGTGGAATATTCTTTCTTCACTTCTTGTTCTTTGTTTTTGTTTTCTCCTCAGATCTAGATACTGATGACGATTTAAATAGCGACGACTATGAATATGAAGATGAAGCCAAACTTGTTATATTCCCAGACCACTATGAAATAGCACTACCAAATATTGAGGAGTTACCAGCCCTGGTCAGTGAGTGTGCACGGCTGCTAGCTAGATGCGCGTGACTCTCTGTGTCAGGTGTGTGTGTGTGTGTGTGCGTGCAGTGTGTGTGCGCTGGGCGGTGGGGAGGGCGGGGTGAATGAGAGAGGAGGGGAGGAAGGAGTAGGAACAGAGGCAGATGGCTTCTCCTCCGTGAAGAGGGCCTCGCAGGTTCCCTTTCAGTGACACTGGGCCGTATACACTCCGCTGCCTGTTACTTCCAGTGCTGTTTGGGCTTCACTGCTCACTGGCCGGCCTGCTCCAGGTGGGCTGGCCTCTTCCCACCTGTGAACCACAGTCTGGTGCTTAGATTTTCAAATTGTGCCCCCGAGATGTGCAGGGACTGCTGGAGAGGGGTTGTCTTCTGATCAGGGACGCCTAAAATTTTTCTCTCTCCTTCATGTTGGCCTTCCATGTAAAATTTTGTTTGGGAAACATAAAAGAATTCCACCGAGAAACAACAGCAACACGATTATGAAAATAACCCAATATTTACAAATCACAGGTCTCCAGGAGCTCTGTGATAATGTGTTCCTTTGAGGATGAAGACTGCTTTCTAGGTTTTAGAATTTAGGTTTAGTGGTGAGTTCTTTCCCCTTTCCTTCCCTTCTTTTTTGTGGAGCAACTTTTGTCTTCCTGAACAACTTAAAGCTGGTGGCGGTGGTGTAAGGAAGTCAGGCTCCGTTTTACTTTGATTCTCGAATCCTGTGGGGACCCAGACCATTTTCCTGCTCTTCCCTCATTTCCTGTATTGTCTCTGCTGCTCCATCCTTTCCTATGTTCCCTTTCCTTTCTTTTCCTCTTTTCTACTCGGTTGCATCCTGACTTCACAGAGCCTGGCTGCAGATAGCAGAGTTAGACATTCCAGTTCATTTTTTCCCCTCCTCAAGCTTTGCTAGAACCAAAGCCAGGTCTTTAGGTCCCTGATTCTTTCAGATGCTGTGTGACTCTGTCTACAGTCCCCTGCTCATGTGCCCCTGCCAAGAGGGGACGTTTGTGCTTGGGATTCCCATGTCATTAGGGACCAGGTTGCCACCATTCAGCCTCTTTTGCCTCTGATCTACTTTATACCTAAACATAAGACCATAGAAGTGAAAAATTTGTGTATTAAGCTATCGTAGCTCTTTCCTCGAATTATTTGATATAGCATATCTTTTTTAGTACCAAATGCATACGTTTTAGCAATGTGTACAGAATTAAATTACCTCTGCTTTCTCCAGTTCCCTGTGTCACTAATGTGGCTGTGATCAAGGACAAAACATATGGACAAAATGGTCTTACCCCGTGCCATTACTTGATATTATATACTAAAGCTTATATCTGTATATAGCTGACAGTTCTCACTGCCCTTGTTTAATATAACTCTTGAGTCTGCTGTCAAAAAAGAAGCACATTGTGAATGACTGTCATGAGAAATGATTTTTCTCACTCCCTTATGAAGAAAAAGTCGTTATGTGAGAAAAGTTAATGAGAGCCTTTAAGTACTTTTCATTATTCTTATATTGAGAATATAATCCTAAGTGTGAACATTTTTACAGAAAAGTGAAGTGTCATAGAAATCCATATCCAGCAATATATATTATAATTTTTAATACAGAGTCTTTTAGAATTAAGAAATACTTTAAGAATTAAAAAAAAGAGAGAATTGTTTGGAAGTTGAGGCGGGGAGATAGAAGGAAAAGCCTGATTTATTTATCTGATGGTAACTGGTAAGATTTCTCTATGTGAAAGATGCTAGTTACTATAATTTCTTTTCATGCTGTTGCTACATTTTTGGTGTTTGATAATTCTTTTTCAGCTTTTAAATAACAAAAATTATTGAACTCACCCAACTAGCTGACTCTTCGTCATCTCTTGAGTTTCTCAGCACAAAAGAAAGAAATCAGTTTCAAATAGGTACTCTGTAGATTGTACCAGAAAGTTCAACTGCCTCTTAGTGTTACAGGGGTCACAGAGACATAGTGTTTGGGACTCAGTAGGGATCTTAGAGCCTGAAATCTAATGCCTCATTTTAGAGTCAGGAGCTCAAGCCTTGGTGTGCTTGTAATTGGTTAGCAACTAGCTCCCTGGGGGCAAAGCCCTGCATTGTAAGGTTTGCTGATTTCCATGGTGTAAATACTCCCATTTCAGGCTAACATGTCACCTAATGCAGTGTTGAGAAGAGATGTGTAGTAGGACATCCTCACATAGCGTTTTCACCGTTCGCGTAATGTGGATGTAAGTGACCTCAAGAGCATATAGATTAGTTATTAAGATAGAGTAACACAACTAGGGAGTGAAGAGTTTTGAATATTTGTTACCTTTTAAAAATATACTTGTGAGCTAATAGAATTTAATTTTTAATAATGGCTGTGTTTAACAACGCTCTTGCAGAATTTCTTAAAATTTAACAAGTCTGTAAGCCAGTTTGAGCCAATTCCAGAACACCCCTGTACTTGAGATAATTCACAGTATAATTATAGGATAATGGATCCTGACCTTCATCTATGATCCATAAAAAGGGCCTCTAAGTGATTTTAGGTGGTATTCTGAAAACACTAGGTCAGTGTTTTATAACGTCCTAGACGATTAAGGAAATTTTGTTGAGTGTCACCAGGAAGGATATTCAAAGAAAAGAGAGAATATTATATTCTTATTATTATCACTGTGCATTGCAAACTAGAACACTTAAAAAAGACCTAATAGGGTGGAGAAGATTCAGAGGAGGACAGGGAAGGGATAGAGGTAGTCAGTGAAACAACAAAGAGGTTGTAACAGACCAGACTGAAAAGATTAGGATGTGTAGCCAGAAGTGCTAAGGCAGCATGGCCCAAACCCATAAAATCAGGAAGAGGCTCATGGTGAACTCAACCTTGTTTTCTAGGGGTATTACTGGAAGGGTGTGGGAGATGAATTTTGATAATTGAAAGGAAAGGCTACTTATATAACATTTCTTGTGGGAGATGAATGGGAATATTTTTAAAAAGGTTTAGAGAAGGGTAAGATAGGGGAAGGGGGAATTAAGAGGTACAAACTACTAGGTATAAAATAAATAAAATACAAGGATATAATGTACAGCACAGGGAATATAACCAATATTTTATAATAACTCTAAATGGAGTATAAGCTATAAAAATATCAGATTACTATGTTGTACACCTGAAACTAATATAACATTGTAAATCAAGTAAAAAACTTCTATCAAATAAACACCTCCCCCCCCAAGAAAAAGAGGTTTAAATATATTTATGAATGCCTGATTGCCTGATCTGTAATGGAGTATAAGCTTTTTGAGGGCAGGGACCTTTTCCTTTTCCTGACTGAGGGTAGCCCAGTGTAGTCAATTGGTAGTGTTTAGTATAACCTTGGAGAGTTTTAAGCTGGAGAAGCATGGGATCTAATGTTCACAGCAGATCACTGGCTGCCAGGCAGAGAAGAGGAAGCAAGAGTGGGAGAAAGGAGATGGTAAGGAGGCTGCTGTGTGGCCATTCGGGTGAGCTGGGACGATGGCTGAACAAGGATGGGTATGGCCGAAATCAAGAAGAGGTAGACTGCAAATAGATTTTGGATGTAGGACTGATAGGAATTGCTCAGGGCCTGGGTGAGGGTGGAAGTGGGATGGCAGCTGAGGGAACTTCCTCCATTGTCTCTATTTTTTTTTTTCCTTGTAGCTTATTTTATTTTATTGGAGTATAGTTGCTTTACAATGTTGTGTTAGTTTCTGCTGTACAGCAAAGTGAATCAGTTATACGTGTATATGTATCCACTCTTTTTTAGATTTCCTTCCCATTTAGGTCACCACAGAGCATGTCTCTTAATCTATTCTGGGGTCCGTTGTCAGTGCTACCTAGAGGAAAATATTCTGTATGAAGTTCAGCTAACTGTACAGGATGCTAGTGATGTAGAATACAGATTTTTGTTAAAAATTGTTTTTCAGACAGTTCAATGGCTTTTATTATATTCAGAGTTGGGCATCCGTCACAACTATCTCATTTCCCTCTAGTCTCTGGCAATCACTAATGTACTTTGTGTCTCTGTGGATTTGCCTATTCTGGACATTCCATACAAAAGTGTTGCGGTCCGGGAGCCACACGCCTGGAGTCGAGTTCCCCGGTAAATGCGACCCGTGTCCCAACCAAGGACACCCGAGAATCACCAACACCAAGCAGAAAGATTAGCAAAGGATTTATACAAGTATAGAAGCTTACACAAACTGTCCGGACAGGGTCCCACTCAGAGAGAAGTGAGTGAGACCCCGACTAACAGTCGGGCGAGGCTTTTATACCCTTCACAGGGCAGGAAGTCCCCAAGGGGGGAGGGAGCTGTTTAATTTTGAATCAGCCAATGAGGAACCCGGTTCTTCCCGCCCCAAGCAAGCAAGCAAGTTTCTTACAGAAGCCAAAATGTGCTGTTAGCCCTGAAGCTGTTCTTTCGTTTCTTTCATCACAAAAGGAATCATACAATACATGGTTCTTTGTGGGTGGCTTTGTTTTTACTTAGCATATATTTTCAAGATCCATCCATGTTGTAGCATGTATCATTCCTTTTTATTGCTGAATAACGTTTCATTGTATCAAAATACAATACTTTATCCATTTATCATTAATGGGCATTTGGGTCATTTCTACTTTTGGCTATTACAAATAATGCTTCTATGAACATTTATGTATAAGTTTTTGCGTGGATACGTATTTCTATTTATCTTGGGTGTATACCTAGGATTGGAATTGCTGGGTCATATGGTAACTCTGTTTAACCATTTGAGGACCTGCCAAATTATTTTCCAAAGTGGCTGCACCATTTTACATTCTCATCAGAATATGTTTTTAAGGAGAGTTAGAAATAGCTTATAGCATTAAGCAAGTAGCGAATGTGGCGAGAGGCATATATCCAGAATCAGTGGGGTTTGGGAGAAAGCAGAGAGTCCGCCCTCCCCCTTAGTCAGTCGGTGCCAAGCCAGGCATCACAGATTTGCTCATGATGTGGGCTGATCTGACACAGAGACATCCAGGCATGTCCCCATCCAGTGTCACATTTGCACTAGATTAAGAATTGGAGCCATGCTGCTTGCATTTCATTCAGGTGCCCTTGACCACATATCATTGTGTGATGAGTTGAGGTTATTGGTTGTCTGGGTGTATATTTGTTAAGAGTAAAACACACCACTTGGGTAAATCCTAGGCATACCTGTTGCTAATTTCACCCTTGTAAATTGTTCACCTTATACTTTGCACTCCACTTGCTAAGAGGTAGCAATTGTTAAATCTGACTCTTATGCTTGGGTTTACAAACTGGATTTGGTTCTTTGCTATCTTGTGTCATTGTTACTATTGCAAACTCCAGGCCAGGATAAAACCTAGCTAGATCCAGGGAGAATGTGCTGGAGTCAGGAAACTAGCATCTTGCTCTCGTGGTAACTGAGCTATTTGAATTTTCTTAAATTAAGCTGTATTTATTAATAAACTTTAAAATTCATTTTATAGAAGTTTCTGTCCTCTCAAGCTGTTTTAATATATCACATCTGTATTTGTCTTACAGGTAACAATTGCTTGTGATGCAGTTCTCAGCTCAAAATCTCCATACAGAAAGCAGGACCCAGATACGTGGGAAAATGAATTGCCAGTGTCCAAATATGCAAATAACCTCACCCAGTTAGACAACGGAGTCAGAATTCCTCCAAGGTGAGGGTCAGACAGCAAAATGGAACTTTCCCCCCCAAAACAGGCCAAAGGAATATTTATTTTTCTACCTCTTCACTGAATTAGCAATTATATCTTTTCTTATCAGATGCCTTTTATTAAAAATAAGCTTGGGACTTCCCTGGTGACACAGTGGTTAAGAATCCACCTGCCAACGCAGGGGTCACAGGTTTGAGCCCTGGTCCGGAAAGATCCCACATGCCGCAGAGCATCTAAGCTCGTGCGCCACAGCTACTGAGCGTGTGCTCTAGAGCCCTCGAGCCACAACTACTGAAGCCCGCGTGCCTAGAGCCCGTGCTCCGCAACAAGAGAAGCCACCGCGATGAGAAGCCCATGCACCGCAATGAAGAGTAGCCCCTGCTTGCTGCAACTAGAGGAAGCCTGCACACAGCAATGAAGACCTAACACAGCCAAAAATAATTAATTAATTATTTTAAAAATTAATTAATTAAAAAAAAGCTCAAAACTTCTCTCTAGAATTATCTCTACCTTTGTAGTAGACGCTGACCATGGCCAGCCCCTGCCCTGGAGCCTATCCCCACCCTAAGGCCTCCGGTTGTGAGCACCCGCAGCTCCTCGCTTGAGGGCTTTCTCTGCCTGCCCGAGCCAGGTAGGCCAGTGCACCGGACAGTCAGAAACGCTGCAGAGCCGTGCTCCCTCCTGTGCTCCTGGAACAGCCCTCAGCCAGTGACTGTGGAGTGGAGGGACGAACACCCTAGATCCCTATGCTCAGGTTGGGTAACTGTCTCCTGGAGTTCCCCAGCTGGACTGAGCCCCAGTGGCCCATGGGGTCATCTGCTTGTTCACAGTCCCTGCACTGGCTTCCTGCCCTTTCAGTCTCTCTTCCCTCACTCCCTTAGGGTGCTTCCTGGGATAGCCTCCCAAATGAGCTGTTTGCATTCAAATCTTTGTCTCAGAGTCTGCTTCTGGGGCACCCAACTTACAAAGACGGACAATAGTCTTTGCTTGTCACATTTTGGCTGGAATGCCCTTTAGGCTCCTTTTGCACCTCCTGTAATCAGATGCCAGTGTGTTTCCAGAGGC